CTGCAGTTTAAATTCAATCACCGGTGGGAGTAACATTCAGTGGAAAAACTAAATTCGTAACTTTATTGATATTCGAAAATTGATAAATGTACGCCGCCAAATGACAACTGTACTCTTTTCTCCAAAGGGCTTTCTCAGCCCCTATTTATTTGTTCAGAATACAGTATGTGCTTAAACTTCTATTAAGGAAGTAGAAGAGAGAATAATTTTCTATGATGTAAGGATACAAACAGTTTGTCAGTTACCTGGAGGCATTTTAGGGGCAAACAGAATGTAGATGCCGGAAGTTCAGACGCCAGGCACGTAATCGGAAACTGCCAGTGGGTTGAAGCTCGGTCAGTTTCGTGTTGTTTCTGTTTTCCCCCGCTTGTTTTTGCCGGAGCTCAGTTGAACACGCGATGGGATATTCGTTTCACTAAGTAGTCATCATGCGACAGAGTGTCTTGGACTGGTTGTTTTTCACATTCTTTTCCCTCACTTTGATTGACTTCTCTCCCGCGTAACAGCTTTAGGATTACGCAAAGAACTGCAAAACGTTAGCAAAAGTTTAGAAAGATTTCAGACTGAGAGATCTCCGACACTGTGTGATTGATTCACAATACTAGCTACGTATTTATAATACCAGTCGAATAGGATTGCCACTTTATTTGTTTCGCTCAGTATTGTTCATTATATCAGAAGAATATACGTGAAATTCTCTGCTATTGTTATAAACCGAAAAATATGAGATGCAAGTGACCTCGAATCTAAATATTTCGGTTCTAATCATCCTGAGGTAATGTTGTTCGCTTTCAACAGCAGTTTTATTCTCATGCATTTCTGCTTGTGCTCGAGATGCGTAAATCAATATTATAAACCCAAATATTTTCAACTAGTCACATCAGACATATTATTATCTAAACAAACTAGATAGAATCTACTTTCGTGCGATTGCACATTTGTGGATAAAATTCCCACGGCGATCCGATCCCAACAAGTAAATTTCGATCTGATTTAGACTTCGAGTCAGTGACGCCGTTTTCTCATGGGCAAATGTAATACTTGTGTTATACTAAGAAACGATTGCAAAAGCTTTGAGTGAAAAATCAAAGATTATTTTACACAGTGTTTTGTGCTGCGACGTAAGTGTATGTATGTGTATTTCCCCTCTTTCAGAGTATTGTTGTATTCCCTGTTGCAAAACATCAGGGTTCTTACTGCCAAACTTAAAATTGAAATTGCTCATTTGTTAAATAAAACCCCAGACAGAATCAAACTCCGTGCAATGCATTTTTACTAAATCAACTGATTGGTTTTCTTCTTCACTCATTTCCTCTCGTTTTCTCCTGCAATTACTTGTGTTCATTTGTGCGAAAAGTTGCGGTGTGAAAGCGGGATAGTGAGCTTGGAGAAATTATCACAGATGGAGCGAATTTGAACAGACACGCATGAGAACTCCTTCAGATATTCAGATACTGACTTAATCTTGGCAGTAATTTATGATTAACTTCAGTTGAGCAAAAGACAAAAGATAAATAATATTCGGCTCAACTTAGTCTAGCCTTAAAGCTACTGACTCATTCTTCGAGTAGCATTGTTTAGTTGTGATTGAGCTTTGGATTTGTGATAACATACGCAAACTGTTATTTCCGTTTTAAACCGTGATTA